GTGGGGCCGCTTTATAGCCGAGTCATTACAGGGATTTGCCAATCTCTGGTGAGAGACTGGAGCCATCGGCCTGGGACCTCATCCGGCTTCTGGGTCTCCCGCCTGGTGACTACTGCACCCTGGGGACATGTCCTGATTGGGGCCTCAGAGTCATCCAGCTCTAACCCCTCCGGGGTGTCTCCAACAGGGTCCTGCCTCCCTGCCCATCCTGAGTACGCACAACATTGTCATTGTTGTCATCATTATTGCTCCTGTGTGTACTGTGAGGTAGGTGCCAAGTCAGAAGTATTTATTGTGTTCCTAAGCTCACTTAATCATCCCCACAGGCTGGAAAGAGGTAAGAGCCCCGTTGTACAAATAAGAAAACAGGCCAGAAAGGAAAAGAACATCACTTCGGTGCCCAGCCCAAGGTCTGCCAGCCCCTGCTCTGCCGCCGATTAGCTGTGGCGTGGTCACGGCCAGGCGTGGTCATGGCCCTCTCTGAGCCTTGGCTCATTCATCTCTGTGTTAGGCTAAGTGGCCTAGAGAAACAAGCCCAGTGACACTCCCCTATGTCTAAGACAGTTTCAGATCAAAGGGAGGCAGCCCAGCCCAGCCCAGCCCGACTCCAGGTCATGAGTCTAATGTGATCTCTAGGCCCCTCTGTAGACTCACACAGCTGCCTGCTGGTGATGCAGCATGGCGAGGCAGGGAGATGGCCGGCCAGTGGGGCAGACTCCAGTGGCTCCAAGGTGGCTGGGGACATGGCAGGGTGCTGACAGCTCTCAGGGTCAGGTGGCCCATGTGGAGCCACCCCTCAAGGCAGGCAGAGTTCCAGCTGAGGGGAAGGGGGAGGGACAGAGAGGTGCCCAGGTTTGCCCTGCTTATAAGAAGGCCACGCCCCCTTGGAGGCACTGTGAGGCTGTGGCCAGGTTGACAGGTTGGATTCCACCCCTACACTTTGGTACAGCTTCAAGCCGACATAAAATCCTCTCACAGCCACAATCTGCAAGAAGAAGAGAGGGCCTTTCCTCAAGGTTTTCTCACCGGCTTGTCAAGATGCACATGTGATCTCCTCACCCTTGCAGCCCGAGAGGAGCTTCCTTTACCTGGGAAAGCCAGGTCCAGCTCTCCTTCTATCCCCTTCTCGCACTGAGGGAGGTAGGCCGGCTGGGGACCAGCCTCTCCCCAGGGTACCCCATTCTCGGACCCAGGGCAGCTAAACTGCCTTGCCGCTTACTCCTTTGTCTTCTCAGAGAAACACTGCATTCTTGATCATCAGAGGACCTTGTGGGCACAGTGAGTTACACTCTGGGCTACTAACCTCCAGGCAGCAGTTCAAATCCACCAGCAGGACTGTAGGAGAAAGAGGCTGTCTGTTCCTGTACATCTTTACAGGCTCAGAAACCGCATAGAGCATCTCTACTGTTTCCTAGAGTCGCTGACTTGGAATAGGCTCGGTGATAGTGGGTGGGTTCTTTAGCAAGCCAGAATGGGAACCCCACCCATCTATATCTTGTGGTGCCCTTGGGAACAGTAATAGTGAAGCAAGCAGCCAGCAGGCCAGAGGGTGGTGAGTTTCCGTGGCAGGGCGAGGCCTGTGGTGGGCGGTTGAATAATACCCACATTGTCCCAGTGGGCGGCATCTCGGGTCCACACCATAGCCCGTAAGCGGACTTTGAATCAGCACTTTGGACGGGTTCGGCCTGGTCCCGTCGTGGTTGGCGAAGTGAAAGCAGACCAGACTCAAACGAGTAAAACGTGGGTGAACTGGAACAATGACCAGACGGGGAAAATCCTGGGCAGACGCCCTGCTAGAAATGTTGTCTTCTGTGTAGAAAACAAGGGCAGTGGGTGCATCAAATAGCAACCAACCCTCTTGACAGACAGGCCTGGAAACAAAGATGGCGGCCGATGGGCCCACTTTGAATGTGTGACACTCTCCCCAGCCCTGGCCCTAACCCAGCTGCTGACCTAAGCTCCTGGAAGGGCTCACTGTGCCTCTTGGAGTCTCCTGTTTCAGGCCTTTGACCTGTAATTGTTCCCATTTCTGTTAGTGTTCTGGGGCGCTCACAGCTTACAAATCTGGGTCTGTCCTGATGTCCTTGCATCAGTCATGACGGAGTGGGTTGGAATCCTCGAGAGCCCCAATCCTTCCAATCTTTGAGGGAGCAGGGGGCCTGGGCCAGAGCATGGCACGGGCTTTGGGCGACTTGGGCCTGACCCCCCCACCCCCACCCCGACTATGGCAGCATTTACTGTGTAACTATGGGCGACACTGGGCAGCTCAGAGCTCTGGGTCCCTCTGTAGGATGGTGGCCAGTGTTTGGCCAGGGTTCTGTCAAGGTCACTTCAGAGCACCAGGCAATGTGCGCCGTGACCGGAGAGACTTCTTCTGTCCCTTCCCCACGCGGACTTGTTTACTGACAGCAAGTAACCCTCTGCGTGTTACCAGTGGAGAAGAAAACACCGAGCCCCCACTGTGGATGGAGGAACCTCCATTTCTTTCCGCAGCGTGATGCTTTTACTTCTCTGCTCAGCCCCTGCTCTCTCTGGGTGCCACCAGGAAACCTCTGAGCTGTTATGGTCTCATCTGTCAAGGCATGGTCCTACCCAGCTGGCAGCATTTCTGCACAGGTTAACCTTGAGGTGTCCAGCAGCTGTTTCCTCCCCAGAGGCTCCCCCGCATGGCTGCTGTTGGGCTCAAAGGTGGGGACGCTCCCTCGGAGGTCCCCAGTTACTCAGCACTTGGCTGAGAGGCAGCAGGACCAAACTGGGGCTTTGAAGGCTGCAAGACCTGGGTTTGAATTGTGGCCCCCCCTCTCACTGACCCTGGCTGTCCTCATCTGGAAAATGGTCGTTACAAGCCTCCTCACAGGGATGGGGTGTTCATGGCAGCACTGATGCATGCTAAGGCCTCCTGTTGATCCACTTGTCCCCCTGAGGAATGGACAGGACTAGTAATTATGGGCAGGGCAGGAGCCCCAGAGGATTGTGGGGAAAAGGTCCTGGCCAAACAGCCCCACTCAATGACGAAGCTCTCCCTGCTCTAAATGCTATTCATGGTCATAAAATTATCAACAGCTATGGGAGGCCTCGTACCAAGGCTTGCCTCTATGGGACAATAAAGTCACATACAGAAACAATTTGGGCAGTGCGAGGCACGCCAAGCCAAGCGGGGTGAGGCACACGGCAGCCTGCTCTCGTTAACTCAGCCGCTCACATTTGTTACCAGAGATTGCTTCTTAATTAAAATACAGCCACATTATTAAAAAAAAAAAAAAAAAAAAAGTTTGCGAAGGGCTGGCACAGAGCAGCCCCGGCCGGTGGAGTCAGCGTGGCTTGCAGCAGGACCGGACCCAGGCCTCTGAGCAGAGGCTCATCTGAGCCTGCTCTGGCTGCTCACTCTGTGGAAAACCGTGCAGTGCCCCACAGGTGAATGCCTGCTGGCCCGGCCAGAACCACAGGCCAGGCATGTTCACACCAGTGTCAAGCCTTGGCTGGAAAGGCTACCTCAGGGTGGACCTGCTCCTTAAACTGGGGGTTGCAACCTCATCATGGGTCACGTAACTGAATGTGGGGTCGTGAAAAATGGGGCTATAGTAAAAGGTTTCTGAATGCTCAATGGCCAAAAATCAATTCAAAGTCACATGTGGTCATGAATCTGAGGAGTGTCTAGCAGCGCTGGCCTGTGCAGTAGGCTCCTCTGTCCATCTCCAGGTGGGTCTGCCCATATGCAGATACGCCCACAGCATGAGGAACTGGATAAAGGGTCGCAGCCTTAGGAAGGTCAAGAACCCCAGGTTTACAGATAACAAAACAACCCCAGGGAGGAAATGTGCCTGATAATAGCCATCTCTTGCATTTCTGCTACACTTCACAGAGTGCTTCAGGGGCTCTCACATCTCCACCTTAATCTTCATCAGATCCTTGTGAGCTTGGTGAAGCTGGGCCTAGGGGGCCTGTCTGGCACAGAACCATAGGAGGCGTGTTGGGTACAATCAGGCCACTCCCGACCCATCGCGACTGCCTGGGAAGGGTCCTGCGCCACTCACAGCCATTGCTACCTTTGAGTCCATTGTTGCAGCCAGTGTCTCAACCCTTCTCCTGCAGGGCCTTCCTCTTGTTTTTGGTTTTGTGCTGCCCCTCTGCTTCACCAAGCGTAATGGCCTTGCCCAAAGACTGGTCTCTCCAAAAACATGTCCAAAGTACACACGATGGAGTCTCGCCGTCCCCACCTGGATAAATCACTGCGCGCTGTTCCCGGGGTGCAATGCCGTTTGGAAAACTCTGTGGATTGGGCTTTGGCGATAACAATGACCAAAAATGCTTAGTAAGCGCCCAGCCAGTAACCTGGGACCCCATGTGTGTCAGAGGACAACGGTGCCCGTCGAGTTTATTTTCTAGAAGTCAGTCACCAAGCCCCATTGACTCATCTTGAGCCGTCAACTTTTCTTCGGCCACTAAGGGCATGAACTGACTGCATCACCCAGGGGCTGCCACCCTGTCCTGCAGCCCCAGTGGCACTGTCAGCCAAATGTTGGGCTGCTAAACACAAGGCCGGTGATTCCAACCCACAAGAGGCTCTTTGGTAAAAGGATGAGGTTGTTGGCACCCTTGAAAATTGACAACCTCGGAAACCCTATGAGCTCCCATGGGCTCCGTGGTAGTGGTCTTGGTTCTAACTCTGCCTGCTGGGCAGTCTCGACTCTGGACTCACCAAGCCCAGCATGCTCTCTTGCACGACCACGTGTAACGTGAGCATAAGACCCCTGCGCTCCAAGAATGCAGGGGTCTGTCTTGTTCACCAGTGTCTGGTACGTGGAGAATCCTTCGTTTTGTGTCACACGTAGGGAACCAGTGAGCCGCACCAACGGCCTCTGAAATGGAGGGATTATGGGACTTACTCCAGGAGGGATTCAGTTCATAACTGGTGTAGGGGTGCTCTGCTCGCTCATTGGCTCTCCCTTTCTCCCCGCCTTTCTCTGTCCAGTCAACGGGAGCTACGGCCACTGCACCTCAGGCTCAGAGAAGAAGAGCCTGCTGGACATGGACCTTGTTGAGGGCCTCAACCCCCCCTGCCGCCAAGCCCTGTTCCTCCCCGCGGGAACCCCACCACTCCGTGGGCACCCCCCAGCCTGCGAGAGACTGCTGCATTTCCCCCATCCTGATAACAGGTATGTGCCCCTGTCACCACCTGAGACTCTTCCCTGGAGGCCCAGACCCCAAGGCCTTCAATCCTGGCTCATGGGACACAGGGAAACTGAGGCACTGGACTGGCCAGGGCCTGGTAGCACAAAGATGGCTTCCTAGTCTAGTCCCCCACACCACCTCCTATGCCAGGGCCTCACAGGGCACACTAAGGGGCCTTTGTTGAAGCAGCCTTTTCCCTGCCAGGCTGAGGTGGCTTTGAGAGGGAATCCGTGACTCTCCGTGGGTGGGCTTGGGGAGGAAAACCTGCCTGAGGATTCACCGAGTGTCAAATCCTAGAACACTTAGAGGGGACAGGATTCTCTGTCCAGGGTCATCGTTGACATCTCCAGGAATCATTGCCCTGCAGGCCCCTACCAGTGACTACTGTCTTAGTGACCTAGTTCCACACCTCGGGCAGACCACAGCAGGCGTGTTTAAAGCACGGGCATTTCTGTTCTGAAAATTCAGGAGTCTAAAAGTCTGAGTTCACGCTGAGAGGTGGTCCATGCTCGTCTGCTTTGGCGCCTGGAAGCTGGGGTGATGCTGGAAGATGCATCTGCCTCTCCACGGCTGGCCCACCTCTCCGTCCTGCGGGTGTCTCTGGGTCCGCTGTGCTCTTTTTATGACTAGAACATTTAGAACCCACCCTACTGCAACATCACCTAATGAACAGAACAAAGGAAACATATTTCCACACTGGCTCCTGTTCACAGGCCCAGGAGCAAGGCCTTCCATACAGACCATTATCCCATCCAGTCATCGCTGGCACATTTCAACCACATCCACTTCTAGACAGATGTTCTGTCTGATCGCTTAGAGGGCTGGAACCTGCCTCTGGGTCCTCTACAGAGGTGTTTAGACACAAACAGGGCTCCGTGTTTGCCCACCCCATCCTTGGGGCCCTTTCCCACTGGGAGGGTTGCTGGCTTGGCTGGAATCTATTACAGGAACCAGAGATTCAGAAAATGGCCAAGTTGCCCATTTGTGGTTCATTCGTTCACCTGCCATTTACCAAATGCCAATTGTGTGCCAGGCAGGTGACCTCTACAGAGCATTGAAAAGCAAGGGCGTCACTTTGAGGCCAAGGTGTGCCTGACTTCAGCCATAACATTTTCAGTTGCTTCATGTGCCTGTGGAAGCTGGGCACTGAATAAGGAAGGCTGAAGAAGCGTCGAAGCATCTGAATGGTGGGGCAGGGGGAGAACATTGAAAGCACCGAGGACGGCCCAAAGGACAAGCCCATCTGTCTCAGAAGTACGGCCAGAGTGCTCTTCAGAGGCAAGGATGGCAAGACTGCATCTCACATGCTTTGGACATGTTGTCCGCAGACTAGTCCCTGGAGAAGGATGTTGTCTTTGGTAAAGTGGAGGGCCAGGGAGAAAGAGGAACACTTGCAAGGAGAGGGACGGACCCAGTGGCTGTAGCAATGGGCGCGGGCCTAGGAGCCATGGGGAGGATGGTGCAGGACCAGGAAGTGTTGTGCACAGGGTCGCTGGGGGTCGGGGCCGACTCGATGGCACCTAACACACCTTTACAGGAGTAGGTCGCCGCCTTCCATCTCCCAGAGCAGCTGGTAGGCGCCTTTTCATTTGCAGCTGGAGCACTTACCCAGGACACCAGGAGCGCCCCCCACCCCCACCCCGGGTATTGTTTAGCAGCCCTTCAATGCATTTATCCTTGGCTATTTCTTTAGGCTCTTCCCAGCTATACCCATGGAAGTCCACTCTGTCTCAAGGTAAAAAGCCCATGGTGACTTTGCGACGCTGAGGAAGCGGGCGGTTTTGTTGGTGATGGTGGTAGTTTTCTGGCAGATATGATCAGGACCCTCATACAGAATGTCTTTGGACGACTGAGAGCAAGGCATGGTCTTTAGCAGGCACCCTATGCCAGCACCCATCTTAATTACTTGCACCCTGCTACCCAAATAGCCGAACTGGATCTGACATTTTTTGTTAGGTACCGTTCCGTCAGCCCAACTTTCAGCACTTAATATGCAGAGCAGAACAAAGCTTTGCCTGCTCCCGCACCACCATTCCAATTGTCTCCGGGGCGCCCATTGTTGCAGCCCCTGTGTCGTCCATCTCACGGAGAGTCTCCCTCGTTCTCACTGCCCCTCCACTTCACCAAGGAAGATGACTTTCTCCAGAGACTGGCCCCTCCTGACCTCTTGCCCCAAGGCTCTGAGAAGACGCCTTGCCATCCTCGCTGCTAACTAGCATGCGGGCTGCACTTCCTCTAAGACAGACCTCTGCATTCTTCTGACAGCCGATGGCACTTGCAGTGTTCCACACCAACCATGTGGTCAAATGTGGGACCTTTCCTCTGATACCATTAGACTTTCTCCTCTTCCTGAAGGGAAAGGAGTTCCCATTTGTCGATCCTCCCCCCAGGCCAAACCTGTACCTTCTTCCCCCTGCTTGTGACCCTTTCCCGAGCCCAGGCCCTTTGCCCACTGCCTGGGTTCCCACAGCCTCCCCTCACCAGCCTCCTTACCACCACCTGACTTTCTCATCCTGGTCACAGCAGCTCCTGCATGCTGACCACTGTGTGCCTGTCACATCAGCATGTCACCACAGCACCAGGAAACCCGGGTCCCACACCCGGGGACAACCACTTCAGACGCTTTTACTCAGCCCATAATTGGCACAGGGAAATTGGGCCTAGAGTGGTGAGAGTTTTTAACGAACAGCAGGGCTTAAAATGACTCCACCATGATCAGGAGACTGTCTTGTGAATTGAGTTCAGGTCTTGGCTCCCTGGGTGGTCCTTGGGGGCAGAGTGCCGAACCTCTATGCACCTCATTCACATGGGGTGGGAAACAGAGTGAGCAGGCCCCTCCACAGGGCTGGGAGGGCCCTGAAGATGTGGCTCCTCCCTGCCACTGCCTGCCACCACACCCGCTACCCTTTTTCCAGAGGGGCTGCCCATGTTCACATCTTCAGGTATCAGCCTGTGGAGACCCTCCTTTTCCCTCTGTTCCCACCATGCACCGTGCTTCGCTGTCTCCTCAGGGCTGGTCCACCGTCCCCACTAGAAGGGGGAGCTGCTGTCCGAAGCATCGCTCCATTTCCTTAGCACTGAGTGGAAGCCCATGAGGTGAAACTGCTGCCCTCAGACCAGCCTACAACCAGGGAGCCAAGGGGCACGTGGGACCCACAAAGGCTGAGTCTCCTCAATTATTCCAACGCCAGCATCCCCTCCCATGGCCAGGAGGATGGGCAGAGGACGTCAAAGCTGCAAAGGAATGCCGTGGTCCATGGTCTGTCGCCATCATCTTCCAGGAGAAGCTGGCCGTTCCTGACAGCAGACCGCAGTGGGGCCCCTCAGCTTCTGCCTCAAACATCCCTAGGGCCAACATCCTGCTATGGTCCCTGGGGGTGCAAATGGCTCTCCTGCAGGTGGAAAGGTTGGCAGTTTGGACCCACCCTTCGGGACCTCAGACAACAGTCATGGGGATCAGTCCCCCACAAGTCATCCAACGGAGCAACTCTCCTCTGTGCACGTGGGGTCTCCAGGAGTCAGAATTGACCTGCAGCCACGAGCAGCCACGGCAGGGACCTTCTCCGTGGTCAAGCAGTGGCTGTTTTTTTGAGAGGAAAGCACGGGAGGCACTTGAGCTGCTCCCTCCCAAGCCAGCTTGGCCCGGGAAGAGTGAGGGGATGACCGCATCTCGACTCAGCCTGGTGTGGTGTGAAATGAGCAGAGAACCTGGCTAGAAACCAGTGTACCAGAGATGTGATGAGGTCAACAGCCCTGGCAAGCCTAGCCCTGCCCATTGGCACCACCCTCGCTCTCACGAAGAGGGTCAGTCTGATGCGGACAGCGAGGAGGAGAGGGACCCAGAAGGACAAAGCAGCTTACCCAAGTCTGCACAATGGGGACATGGCTGTAACCCACGTCTTTGGCCAACTCCTGCCTCCACCTGGCCTGTCTCCCTGCTCCCCCTCCCTCCTTCCCCTGCTAAAAATTGCAGCTTCATCTAATCAATGAATCAATCTTTTGATGTCTGGGCTTAAAATTCTAGGATGTCCTCCTGAGAAGTTTTCCCTTGACTATTCCTGGGAGTTCTTCTCACCTGTCAAGCCCCGACCCACTGACATTAACAGTGGGACACTTCCAGTAACCTTGACACAATGAGCACTTTGAGGAATTCAAAAATATTACCCAAAATTAAGGGACCTGCAAGCAGAAGGGAAAAACAAGCTGAGTCTGGATGTCCCTCAAACTATTCATCAAAGTCGTCTTCCCACAGGACTCATGGTGTGGGGGGCGTGAGGAACGGTGGCCTCCCATCCACGCAGCACATCAAGCAGGAGGTCCTGCCCAACTATCATGGTGGAAACTCACACATGCCCCTGTCTACCCACTGCCGGGCCCCCTCAGCCACTGGCCTGCACACAGACATGGACCTCTTGGCGAGCCTGAGGAAGGCCAGGCCTTAGGGCAGGGCAGGATGCAGTTATGACCAGATCTTTTAAAGATGATTACTGGGGCAAAAATATCTACCCTAAAGCATTCATGGAATCGACAGGGTCTACATATTTAACTCAGTGATGTAGGTCATGCTCCTCATGTTGTGTAACTTTCCCAAATTATCCCACCATAGGAACGTAAACCCCATGTCCCCTAAGTCAACGGCTCCCTTTCCCTCTTTCTCCTACCTCCGGTAACCACTCAGAAGCTTTGGCTTCTAGATGTTGGCTTGCTTCGTGTAAATGAACTCAAATAGGGTCTGTACTTTAACGGCTGTATTGACCTGTAATTCATGCAACTGTTTGTTCTTTGCTGCAGCCGATTTATCACACTCAGCCAAATGGTGTGGACTGCAACAGGACTTTTTTCTCCTTGTGCTGAGTAAGATCATCCTTCAGAAGGGGCCTTGGTGGTGCCGTGGGTTAAGCATTGGCCTCTGACCGAGAGGCTGGCCGTTCCACCCCACCAGGGAAGGTTGAGGCAGTCTGCTTCAGGACGGATTCATAGCAGGGGTGGGGCGGTGGAGCAGCCCCACTCTGCCCGCAGGGTAGCCACCCTCGAGGGCAGTGGGTTTGGTTTGGGTTGGAATACTCCTTTCCCATGTCTAGAATCAGGAGCCTTGGTGGCGTACTGGGTTACGTGTCGGGCTGCTAACGACCAGGGCAGCAGTCTGAACCCACCAGCCTCTCGGAAGGGTCAAGATAAGGCTCTCTGCCCCCAGGAAGAGAGTCTCAGGAACCGCAGGCGCAGACCTAGTCTGAGTCTGAAGCAGCTCGATGCCAGTGAGTTTGTTCGTCTCTTTGTGGATGTCTATGATCAACAGCTGGCCTTAGGATGAAGGATAAGGCAGTAACCCTTCTGGGCTTGCTTCTCAGCACATGCCCTTGTTCAGACCCTGCCCTTCTCCACCCTCTCTCCCTCCTTCCCCCTGTCTGCTCTCTCCCTCTTGTCTCTGGAGCCTGTCTGTCTCAGCCTCCCGCCCTGACTACGAGCTTCTCCATCCTTCAGTCTTCAGGCTCCCTACCTGGACCTCCACCCCCACCCCCACCCCCACCCTCACATGAGCTCTCTGGCTCCTGTCTTTCAGGTCACCCAGACCCCAGGCCACATATGTGAACGGTGGCCTCCCACCCACGCAGCACATCAAGCAGGAGGTCCTGCCCGACTACCAGGCCATGGTGGAAACTCACACACCGCTGTCTACCCACTGCCGGGCCCCTTCGGCTACTGGCCTGCACACAGACATGGACCTCTCGGGCCGAGGCCTCACCAACCCTGCACCTGCCTGCTACCTTATGGGCAGTGAGCCCAGCGCTGGCCTAGACCCTCCCCCAGAGACCCATCTCCCTGAGGGCAGCCTGAAGCGCTGCTGCCTCTTGGGCCTGCCCACCACCTCCTCGGCCTCCCCATCACCCTGTGTCTCCTCCGAAGGCCTCAACATCACTTCCATCACCCGCTCCTCCCAGACTGCTCTGGTCACCTGTGTGAATGGACTCCGGAGCCCCCCTCTGCCAGGAGGCCTGGGGAGCCCCCCACGGCGGGCCCGGCCTGGCCCTGCCACCATGGAAAGTCACGAGGGCACTTTGCAACTCGAAGCTTGCTGCAAGGGGGGCTACCTGAAGCAGGAGCCTGTGGACGAGTTCTCAGAACTCTTTGGGCCTCACCAGCAGGGCCTGCCACCCCCCTACCCGCTGTCTCAGTTGCCCTCCAGCTCGGGCCTTGAAGGCTTGGGGCTGGGCCTGGTGGGCAGGGCGGTGGGCGGGCGGCAGGCGTGCCGCTGGGTGGACTGCTGTGCAGCCTACGAGCAGCAGGAGGAGCTGGTGCGGCACATCGAGAAGAGCCACATTGACCAGCGCAAGGGTGAGGACTTCACCTGCTTCTGGGCTGGCTGTGTGAGGCGTTACAAGCCCTTCAATGCCCGCTACAAGCTGCTCATCCACATGAGGGTCCACTCCGGCGAGAAACCCAACAAGTGCATGGTGAGTCCCTGCCGCAAGATCCGGACTACGCTCCAGCCAGCCTGCCCCTGGCAGAGCAGCACCCTGGGAGAGCTGCCCAGAGACTCCCGAGGGGAGGTGACTGGTCAGGATGATCAGTGTACCTGACCGAGGGGCCCCTCTGTGCTCCCCAGGTGCCAGGTACCCTCCTGAGGTGCTACATGTGCCTTTGTGAGCCAGGGCAGCTGGGGTCATGTAAACTAACGGTTGGTAACTGAGGGTTCCAATGGTCAATGCCCATGGTCACTATGGGCACATGGACCCCCAGCACATCTGCCTGGCCAGCTCTGGCCTCTGATTTCCCTATGATGGAAATCTGTATCCGAGGCTGGGAACACAGCCTTCGATTCTGGCCCCCACCTAGCTGCTGTGCCCACCCTCTAGGTCCAATGGCTTACCTGGGGAGGCACCTGCCTGGGGCAGAGGTGGTGCTCTGCATGGTAGAAGAACATGGGCCACCAAGGCCTCACTCGGTATTTCAAGCTGTTAGGACATCGGAAGAAGCAGTGTATCTGCTCTGAAGGCGCCAGTGTCCCAGCCAGTGTCCTGGCCAACATCAGAGCCTTTCACATTTTCAGACCTTGGGCTCTGCCCTCATGGAGCGCACAGTCAGGGAAAGTGTCTCACCGAGACAGACACACACTCTGGAGATACTGTGGGGGTAAGCCTGCGTCCCTGTGCAAAGCTTAGGGCAGCACATGGAGGGGCGGGCAGGAGGCAGGAAGCATGAGCAGCCAGCAGCATAAGCTAATTCTCCTGGGGCCAGGTGTTGCTCTTGGGGTCCCCTGTGCTTGTGGAGCAGGGAGCTGAGCCTTTGACCAGATGTGGCTTATCAGCTTTAAGGAGGCTGCTCCTCGAAGGGTGAGGCGTGTGGCAGGACGATGGCAGTAGGAGGGGCCCTCGGCTGCTGTTTGGAAGAGTATGGTGGGGAGAGGCTGGGTCGAGCAGGCTGAGAACTTGACTTTCTCATCTGCCGTTGGGCTGAAAGAGTCGGGAGGAAGAGCTGGTGGCTGGGCTCATCCCAGAGTGTGGGGGTGGGGACGGGGGGCGGGGGTTGCTGGGGGTGAGTAGGAGGGTGGGGGTGAGGGTGAGATCTTGCAACATCTGGTTTACTGATGGGTAGGTCCCTCCCTGGAAGGGGATGTTCCTCAGGCCAGGCAGGACTGCTGGACACCAGGCTACAGAGGAGCCTTTGCCTCCCTTGGAGACCTGACAGCTGACAGCTCCTAAATCTCACATAGACATTCCTTCTGCTGTGGGTGACTTGTGGCCTGAGCCCTGGCATGGTGTGGCCAGTGGCCTGCTTACAGTAGAGTCACCTGTGGAAACTCACAGCAGGGGCTCTTGCAGACAGTGTTGGATTATGCCATAAGCAAGGGAAACGGGCTTAGTACTAACCTGTAGTGAACAGTTTCCCCTCTTTCCTCCTCACCAAAGCTTCTCATTCTGTCTCTCCCTCTCCCACACTAGAGCACCTTTCTACAGGATCAAAGCTTCTTTTTAGAGTTACAGTCCATGACAGGCTCAGTAAGCAAGCCCAGGCTTGCTTGAATTTGCTTACTACCTTACTGACTGGGTACTCTGTCCCTGCTTCAAGATTATGTAGGCCTTCCCTGCTCATTCTCGGGTTGAGAAGATGGAGGCTCAGTGTGTGGGCCAAGGGGCCCAGGTGACTCAGGGAGGTCTTAGGATCTCTCTCTAGGGTTATTCCTCCTGGGCCAGCTGCCAGAGTGTCATTCCATTGAGTAAAGTCTACACCCAGCTCTGGGATGGAGCTGGAGATGAGTGGCACACTCTAGGGTGGAGTCCAGAGGGCTTCCTGGAGGAGGTGTGCCCCCACTCTGCCTCCACTCACCCATGATTGTGCTCAAACTTTACAAACGTCCTTTCAAACCCAGGGGTTGTATAGGCGAGGAAACAAGGGTTGGTCGAATGGGTTGAACTCAGAGAGAGTCTATACACAACAGAACAACACTCGGCCATGTCCCGTGCCATCCTCACACGTGTTCTTAGGTGTGAGCCCATTGTTGCAGCCACGTCCAACCTGTTTCATTGAGGGTCGTCCTCTTTTTCGCTGCCCCTCCACTTTAGCAAGCATGATGTCTTTCTCCAGGGATTGGTCTCTTCTGATGACATGGTCAATGCACCTGAAATGAAATCTCACTATCTTTGCCCCTCTGGCTGTAGCTCCAGTACAGACCTGTTCATTCTTTTCACAGTCCGTGCTACTTTAAATATTTGTCTCTTGCACCATAGTTCAAACCCATCCATTCTTCTTCGTTCATCTGTATTCAATGTGCAATTTTCACACGCATATGAGGTGATTGAAAAACCATGACTGGGTCAGGTGGACCTTAGTCCTGAAAGTAACATTCTTGCTTTTCTATACTCTAAGGAGGGCAGCAGGTTTTCCCAAAGCAATGTGTTGTGTGATCTCTGGACTGCTACTTCCATGAGCATTGATTGTGAATCCAAGCAAGATGTAATCCTTGACAACTTTAATCTTTCCTGAATTTATCATGATGTTAATTATTGATCCAGATGTGAAGATTTTGGTTTTCTTTACCTTGAGTTGTAATTCACACTGAAGGCTGCAATCTTTGATCTTCATCAGTAAGTGCTTCAAGTTCTCCGTTTCAGCAAGCAAGATTGTTCTATGTGCACATCACAGGTTGTTAATAAGTCTTCATCCAATTATGATGTCTCGCTCTTCTTCATAGAATCCAGCTTCTCTGATTATTTGTTCACCATACGGATTGAATAAGTATGGTGAGAGGATACGACCTTGACACACACATGCCTTTCCTGACTTTAAACCATTCAGTATTCCCTTGTTCTGTTCATACAACTACCTCTTGATCCACGTACAAGTTCCACATGAGCACAGTGAGGTGTCCTAGGATTCTCATTCTTCTCAGAGTTGTCCATAGTTTGCTATGATCCATACAGTCAAATGCCTTGGCATAGTCCATGAAACGCAGGTCAACATCTTTCTAGTCTTCTCTGCTTTCAGCCAACATCCATCTGACATCAGCAGTGACACCCCGAGTTTCTGAATCTGGCCTGGACTTTTGGCAGCTCCCTGTGAATGTACTGCTTGCAACCATTGTTGGATGCTCTTAAGTATAATTTTACTTGTATATATTATTTTATAGAATATTTCAATATTGCAGCTTGAGGCTTGAATATTTTCTTTAGTTCTTTCAGTTCAGGATATGCTGAGGATGTTTCTCCCTTTTGGTTTTCTGTATCTCGATCTTTGTACATTCCATTAGAATCTTTGACTTTTTCTTCTTGAGCTGCCCTTTGAGATTTTCTTTCAGCTCTTTGACTTCATCATTTCTTCCATTTGCCTTAGCTACTCTATGTTTAAGAGTAAGTTTCAGAGTCTCTACTGACATCCACTTTGATCTTATCTCTTTCCTGTCATTTAATGACCCTTTACTATATTTATTTATGATTTTCTTGAAGTCATCCCAGAGCTCATCGGGTCTTCTGTCATTAGTGTTTGATGTGTCAAATTTGTTCTTGAAATTCAGGTGGGATTGACTCAAGATCACATTTTGACTCTTAAGGACTTGTTTTAATTTTCTTCAGCTTCAGTCTGAACTTACATATGAGCAATTGATGGTCTGTCCCACTGTTGTTCTCTGGCCTGGTTTTAGCTTTTGATATTGAGCTTCTCCATTGTCTCTTCCCACCAAACTCAAAACCAAACTCACTGCCATTAAGTCAACCCCGACTCTTCGTGGCCCTAGAGGACAGGGTAGAACTGCCCCTGTGGGTTTCCGAGACTGTAAATTTTTATGGGAGTGCAAAGCCTAGTCTTTCTCCCACTCTCTTCCCACATTTGTAGTCAATTTGATTTCTGTGTGTTCCATCTGGAGAACTCCGTGTGCGTGGGCATCTTTCGTGTTGCCATAAAAAGGTACTTTTGGTGAAGATGTCATTCGTCTTAAATCATTCTATCATGTGATCTCCAGCTTTGTTTCTATCAACAGGGCCATATTTTCCAACTTCTCTTTGTTTCCAACTTTTGCATTTCAATTGCCAATAAATACCAATGCATCTTGATGACATGTTTGATCAACTTCAGACTGCAGACATTGGTAGAATTCTTCAATTACTGCATCACTAGCTTTAGTGGTTGTCACATAAATGTGAATAGTAGTTATACTGACTGGATTTCCTGGCATGCAGGCCAATATTATCCCATCACAGACAGCACTGTACTTTAAAGACAGATCTCAAAATGTCCTTTTTGTCGATGAATACAATGACATTCCTCTTGAATCTGCCATTCCCTGCAGTAAACCATGTATATGACTGCCTGATTCAAAATGGCCCAAACCAGTCCATTTGAGCTCACTAACGCCTAGGACATTGGTCTTTATGTGTTCCACTTCATATTTGACAACTTGCCCTAGATTCATGCTTTGTACATTCCAAGTTCTAATTGAGGTTTGCGGCAGTGTCTTTTCACTTTGAGCCCTATCCCCATCAGCAAATGAGGCCCTGAAGGCTTTTCTCCCACAGGCTCCATGCTGTCCATGTGATCGTGGTCAACTCTACGTTGAGAAGGCAGCTCTTCCTCAGTCATATGAGTGCCTTCTGACCCGCGGGGCTCATCTTCTGGCACCATCTCTGACCACGTTCTCCTCTGCTTCATGGGGTTTTCAATATCTGACAGTATCCCTGTGCTATCCATAATTGTTTCAGCGGCACATTCCTCTGAAATAGACAGCCAATCACTTCTTTACCGTCTGGTCTTAATCCAAAAACTCTGCTAAAACCCATTCACTTTGGAGACCCGGCAGCATTTGAAATACCAGAGACATTGTTTCCAGCATCAGAGCAACACACAAGTCACCACAGGACGACCAACTGCTATGAACTCCATTTTACAGAGGAGGACACTAAGGCTCAGAGTGATGGAGTGTTTTTTCTCCAGATCACACTGCTGGTTAAAGGGAAGCATTCAC